AGTGGGCCTCAGCCTTGCCTTTGGCAGGCTTGGGCTTCTGGAAGTTGTTGGACTTGCCCAGATGCTGGTCATAGAGCTTGTTCTTGAAAGAGGTGTCAGTTGCCTTGGGGAACATGCACTCCTCTTCCAGGATGGAGAAGATGCCCATGGGCTGAAAGGAACAGCAGTAAATAGAATAGAGATAAAATATAAATCTGCTTTCATAAGGAGACTGGAGTAAAGCATGGGAATTTGAGAAAAGGATCCGAGTTTTTTTAAGCTTTGGACATACATTTCTGAAAAAAATGTGAATTTATAGTGTCTGAAATTGTTGCATTTCAGAACAGATCTCATCACAAGAGACACACAGATTTTTCTAAATTTTTTTGAAAACTCTAATGGGTCAAAAGTAGATATTTATTTTTGCATCAAGCCATTCTCTAGCTAACAAGATACAGACAAAGGTGTCTAATTAAATTTGACATTTGTTCAACAGATCAATAGATGCTTTAGATACTTCCTGAAATCATATTTTGATGAGATATCAATATCTTTTCATTAATGCACAGGAGGATATTATTCAAAAAGTGTTGTCTTACAGTAATGAATTTATTCGGTTCTGTTTATCCGATACTTTTTTTCTGTGTGCACCTCTGGTTTTACTTACGAATTGTGTTTGTGAAATCACAACATTAATATTGAGATCATAATCCTAATACTGAAAATAAAAGAGCTTGATTTTCTGTAAAGAAACTGTTTTATCTTTGCAGACTTTAAAATATGCTGCAAAAAATCCTACATATCAACTTATGTATGAAACATGTTAATCCTTCTATTTGCAGATGAGTGAAATTGCAGTTGTTTTTAAAAATGTTTACTAATGTACTTCATGGATATTCTAATGGTACTTAATTTGTAACCAAATTGCCATTCCCTAAAAATTATTTTCTGAAGTAGAGCAAAAAACTGATGCTGAAGAAAAGCCCTGGAATTCTGCCACAAACAACAAAAACCATCTTAGATATAATGAATGTACTTTTTCAATGAGCTCAATGCAGGCAGCCAGGTCCATCCCAAAGTCAATGAACTCCCATTCAATGCCTTCCTTCTTGTACTCCTCTTGCTCCAGCACAAACATGTGGTGGTTGAAAAACTGTTGCAGTTTCTCATTGGTGAAGTTGATGCAGAGCTGCTCCAGGCTGTTGAACTGTGCAAAAAATAAGATTTGCTTGTCAAGGTGAAGTACTCTCTGTAGAGCTTACTCCTGTTCTAACTCCAGTTAAAGTTTTTTTTTTTTACAGTTTAAAGATCTCTGGGTTTGGGGTTTTTTTTTGTTTTTTTGGGTTTTTTTTTGTTTGTTTTGGTTTTGTTGTTTTTGTTTTATTTTGTTCCTGTTATTTTTAAAGCAAATTTCAAAATAATTTAGTAATCTTATCCCTAATAATGTTCAATTTACATCTGTTTTCTGTTTTTTGTTTCTGTTTTTTTGTTGGTATTATGTACATTTTCCTGCTGAACTAACAGAATATATTAGATGTTACAAATGTTTGCCAATACCAGCCTGCACTCAGGTTCTTTACCCTAATTCATACAAACCATGCTTGCCCACCTTCTGTGCTTGCGTTGAAGGAAGTCAGTAGCATCCTCCTCTTGGAATCACATTACAGGTCTTCAAAAGCAAAGGGTATGTCCTGCCCTCTTTTCAAAGCGTTAGGACAAGTTTGTATGGGACTTAGGTTTAGCTTTCTATTTAGATGTTGTATGCTATTTGACGGTGGATTTTTTTTTTTTTAATAATAAGCTCTAGCTAGTGAGAAACTACATTTGTGGCAACTATATAAAAGGCAGCAATGCAATTTCTTCCCTTTGTACTTCAGAATACTATTACATGAAAAATATTTGAGGCTAGTGCTTTGAGATGGAGAAAAAGCAGTCACATATTCAAAAGCTGTGGCATATTCAAAAAGGCAAGCATTTCCAGAAAACTGGAAATATGCTGCTTGCAATAAAATGCAGACCTTTATTTGAAATTGTAAGTGAACAGCATGTTTTCAAAAAACAGAATAAAAGCAACACATCTCCAGTTTCTTATGACCTGCAGTGGTCTTTAAAGATTTTACGTTATTTCTGACTTTCTTACATCAAAGATCTCAAAGCCAGCGATGTCCAGGACACCAATGAAGTACTGCCTGGGCTGCTTGGTGTCCAGCTGCTGGTTGATGCGAACAACCATCCACAAGAACATCTTCTCATAGACAGCCTTTGCCAGAGCACCAACTGAGTTGTTCACCTAAAACAGAGAATAATGCAGCAGGAGCAGAACGGCACCCAGAGCAAGAAGTACAGTATGCTAGAGGTTCCCAGTCATCATCTGTTTCTTACCTGCTGCACAGTTTGACCTTTGGTCACATACTCATTCCCAACCTTGACGCGGGGGTAGCACAGTGCCTTGAGCAGGTCTGCTGAGTTCAAACCCATCAGGTAGGCAGCCTTGTCTGCAACTGTATGCAGAGGAAAAGAGTAATACAGGGGCAGTGATGAGTGAACTGTGGATTTTCTCTAAGAGCTAAGTACTTTAAGTTAAGTTCTTTAACTGCAATACTTACAGTAGCTTAAAGGAAAATTTAGAAATATGATTACTGTGGAAACTGAGATTTATGTCTTCATAAAAGTGAATTGGAGCAAGATACCTGACTGCTACCTGCCAGTTCTGAAACTATTTCTGTTATTGGCAGCTCTCCATATTAGTAGTACCTTCTGTGCCATCTGGCTCTGCCTGCTCCTCTCGCTGTTTCTGCTTGAACTTCAAGTTCCCATAGTGCATGACAGCCCCTGTCAGCTTGTAAATGGCAGTCTTTTCATCAGCAGTGAAGCCCAGGATGTCAATGGCACTCTGGCAACAGATTCAGTGAATGTAAACGCCACATATATTAAATGTATTAATAAATCAATTAAAATTTCTATGTATAACTTACATCTGTAGCCATAAGCTCCTCCTGATCATTAATGCTGGGAACAGTGATCTCGCCTTGACTCACAAAGTGGTAGTCATAGGGGTTGGTAGTTATGAGGAGCATGTCTGTAAGAGGGAATAGGACATATCTGGGCGTAAGAATGAAGACAAATATTAACTATGTTAAGACTTTACTAAAAAAAATGCTACTTCCTACCAATTAGCTCCGGCTTCTTGTTGGACATGATCTGATAAAAGATGTGGTAGCTTCTTTCAGCCTTGAGCTGGAAAGTGACCCTGGACTTCTCCAGCAGATCTGTCAAGAATGGTAGGAGAAACTTAGCACAAAAGGCAAGGACAGTCAGAAAGAACATGACCAATCAGGCCTGGAGAGTCTCTTACAAGTTTCAATGTCAGCAGAAGCCAGCTTGCCTGTGGCACCAAAGTGGATTCTGATGAATTTACCCTGTTGAGGGGAAAAAATATGCCTTGAGATTTCACTAGGAAAGACCATAATCTTGTGACACTATTATTCACAGAGGGCACATGTTGAACTAAGAAGTTCTGTGAATTTGTTTTTTGGAGTTTTGTCCCCACTTAAAACAGAAATAGAAACAAACAAACAAACAAACAAACAGAAGAAGAAACCAAAAGCTACCAAACAAACACAACCAAAGAAATCCCACCACAAGCAAAAGAAGAATGAAATTCAGGAAAAACTGTCAAAACTAAGATAAAGATAAAGGCCAAGTTTTGCTGGATATCCCTGATTGCAGAGGAGTGGGAAAATTATTAACAGCCTTTTGTCATTTATGCTTCAGATGGATATAGAAAAAGAACTGATGGAATAAATGTTAAAATTATTATTATTTTTTTATCTTATGGAAAATGGAAGGTAGCATTTATCTTCTGAATAGTGGAGGTACACAGAATTTAGAATTTGAAGCTGGGACCGTGGATTGGCATTGCAATTTTTTCAAGGATATTTCACAGCCTATCTACTAATAAGCCCTTTGAATGAAAAGAGCTACAAATATGCCATAGAGCAGTTCAGTTTGCTACAGGATGTCTTAAAACCTTTTTTGTCCTATACCTCAGCTTGTATAAAGGTCTGAACAGTTAAATTACTTGACCTGCCCAGTACTGTATCTAACAGAAGTGACAGTAATATTTCACTGATTAAATACAAAATTCTAGTTTTTCATTATAGAAAATTTACACAATTTTATATCAACAGTCTGCATGACAGATACTAGGGGTGTGTTTAGATATACATATATATAAATTCTAAATACTCAATAATAAATACATTTGCATATATTTTAATGATGCCTCTTTTTACACATTTATTAGCTGTAAAATACTTCATGTAAAGACAATACTAAACTGTGTAAAACAACTACATAGTTAATTAGAGAATTAGATAGGTTTTTGTTTAAAAAAGTATGAGGAATCAATTAGTTCAAGAAATACATCCATCCTATCACATCACTTCTGAAGTGACAGCTCCTGTTCTGATATTCTTGCTTACTCACAAATATCAAAATGTTTCATCACAAGCTTACAAAGCGTGAGGAGTTGTCATTCCTCACAGTCTTGGCATTTCC